TGGAATTGAAAAACCCGAATAGATTAAAAGCTTCAAATCTGAGTAGAAAAAACTATCTTCCAAATCAGCAAAGAATTCATTATGATCAGATTAATATTTATATTAGGGTTATATTTTAGTAGGATATATGTAAAATCTCTCAAGAAAAATTTTTTTATTAGAGCGCAGAAGGCGGTTTCTTATAAAAATTTTCGCGAAATAAGCAATTTTTGAAAAAGTAAACATTTGTTTTGAATTTTCCTGATCATGTTATATTATACAAAATCAGAATTCATTATTAGATAATTTTCCTACAGATTGTCACATAACCCGTATATTTTTTGCCATAGCTAGGGTATTTAGTATTTTGATCCAGATTAAGTTGTAACAACCTGAGTAGCCAACCCACAGATCAACCTGCAGGTCAACCCATAGGTCAATCAGCGAGTTAATCCACGGGTTGACCATAGGTTGACCCGTGGGTTCATAGAGAGACATTCATGTGATTGGTTGATGTAAATCAATTGTCTGGATAACTTATTTATGTAGTTTAAGTGCTTTTTGAAAATATAATATTTTACTAACAAAAAATCATTGTAAAACTCATTTCTAGCTTCTATATTCAATATGCAAAAATAATCAAAAATCATAATTAACCCAAAAATGTCATTTAGAAGCGGATGTTTTTACCATTTATTGATAATACTAGTTATATTAACCATATATAAGTTCTAAATGCTGGATTGAGACATTATATGTAAGATTTAACTTAAAGAACTTTATGCATACCATTTGACATGCTATTAGTAATAATAATACTCTGATCACTATATCAAGATCACAAGAGTATTAATTAATAATACCCTGACTATATGTGAATAAGCAGAAACTCTATTTCCGCTAATTCCCAATGGATCAGGATATTATTATTACTAATAAGTTTGTACTAATATTCATATTTTATGTAATCTAAACATCATAGAGTTAAAACATTAGTAACTTTGGGTTAAGTAGTAGGTCAATAATATGTATAAATGTATGAATATATGAATATTATCATTTTATTAATTATATAGCTAAAGTTCGTCTTACCTCTCTAATAAAGGTCATGATAATAAAGATAAAATTGAATTATTTTAATTATTATTCAAAATATAGCAATAATTTAGTTTTACTAATAATTTATTCGTATATTTAATTTTTTTAATCAATTTGAGTTTGGGTTTATTAGTAATAAACACAATTTACTAATATCAATGCAAATAAAAAATTGGAAAAGATAAAAATACTAAGAAAGATTAAATTTTGGTTTAATATAGTCATATAATATTGACATCTAGTAATTAGCAAAAAAACATATTATATACATTAATCTTTATTATATTAATATTAATCAATATTGATATTTGCACTAGTTATATTAAAATAGATTAATTTATTATACATTTTGTGTCAAAAATACAATTGCACAGGTCTGGACTATAGATGGGTGATGAAATTATTTTCGCAATAATGAAATTGACAAAATTATAAGTGATGAAATTATTTTCATAGTAACAAAATTGGCAAAATTCTTATTTTGTCAAATTTTGTCAATTTTATTACCCATCACTAGTCTGGACACTACAACCGTATCCGAACTCTTCTTTACCAGACCAAAACTATGTCAACTACCCCAGTATCACTAGAGAAAAAAACAGGCACGTGACTAAAATTTTGATTCTCATTATACATTTATATATCGATATATTTATATACATATACATGTAATAGCAAAAGCATTAATATTTTGTATTCATAATTTTATTTGAACTATGTACTACGTACAATTTCCAAGTTATATATTTAGAATTATACATATTTTTTGAAACTAAACTAAATAATAATTAATTTTGAAGCAGCGCTTTTTGCAGAATAAAGTTAAGATTTTATGCTTTAAATTATTGAAATCTAAATTTTTATAGATTATTGTGACATGTATATAGTTTCTATCACCATTAGCAAACTTCTCAATAGCTTCATAATTTCATAATTATTACCATTTAATACAATTTGTATTTTTGCTTGAAATAGGTTGTCATTTTGTATTTATAATAAATAGTGGGTATTACTATTATGATCTTTCCAGGTTAGCAGTATTGTTCTTCTTCTTTGATACTCTTTAACATCCACAACAAACTTTAAAAAAGGATTAAAATTTTTTTTTATAGCCTTTCCTAATTTTTTATTTCTAACAGATTTTTGTTGTTCTAAAATAGCAAGTGCTTTTTTGGATATATTAATTAAATTGTCAAGAGAATCAAGAGAATTTTTATTTTCATCTGAAGAATTGTCAAGTTCATTAATAACTCCATTAGAACTATCTATTAAACTATCGTTTGGATTAATTGTCAAGTTAGACATTACTGCTTGATCTTGAATTAAAAAAGGAGGATATCTGATTCTTTTAACTTGATTAAAAAATATAGGTAAAACATCTCCTTTTATATGAATTAAATGTTTGCAAATATTAAATCTACTAGTTAAATAATAATAGCACCCACATACTCATTTTTCTAAGTCAGTCATATAAAAATTCTTTGCTGATTTGGAAGATAGTTTTTTCTACTCAGATTTGAAGCTTTTAATCTATTCGGGTTTTTCAATTCCA